TGTCGCGCACGATCTCCAGCCCGAGATACTTGACGACCGGCGAAATCTCCTGCAGCTCGAAGGCTCCTTCAGCTCCTTCAGCATCGCGGTGCTGCTGCTGGCAGCGAGCAGGTCGTCGACGTAGACCAGCACCCAGCAGGTCACACTGTCGTTGCCGGTCTTGAAGTTGAGCGCCGTGTCGACCTGGCTCTTCTTCCAGCCAGCGCCCAGCAGCACGCCGTCGAGAGCCCTGTACCACAGGAGCAGCGACTGCTTCAGCCCGTAGAGGCTCTTCAGCAGCTTACACACCCAGTCGGTCCCATCGTTGAAGTAGTCCGGCTGGTACATGTAGAGCACCTTGTCGAGCTTATTCTGCAAGAAAGCGTTCTTCATGTCGAGCTGCATCAAGTTGCGGCGATGATGCTGAGGAAGATCCTCAGCGTGACGTAGCTGCTCACCGGCGCGTACGTCTCGTCGTAGTCGGCGCCGTACACCTGTGTGAAGCCCTTCACGACCAGCCTCGCCTTCTTGCGCTCGACGGTGTCGTCGATGCGGTACTTGGTCGTCAGCACCCACCGGTTCTTCATGATGTTCACCCCGCGTGGGCGTTCGACCAGCTCCCAAGTGCCCATGCTGATGAGGCTGCGGATCTCCTCCTCCATGGCGGCCTTCACCGCTTCGCCCTTCCAGCTAGCCAGCGCCTCCTTCACCGTCATTGTGGCGATGTCCCAGCGATGTTCGGGGTCGGCATGCACGTCGGGGTCGAGCTCCGGCAGTTCTTCATCCTCCTCGGCGTCGTCGTACAACAGGTCGTCGTCGACCTCGTCGTACACCGTGGTGAAGGCAGCTGGCGGTAGGCAGGCGTGGAAGCTCAGCCGCTCCGGCGGCCGTCGAGCTCGACCTGTGCGTCGCAGCTCAGGCTTCGTGATGGGCACCTCCACCACGTCGCTGTCGGTGGACTCCTCACCCGCCGACTGCTCCCCTTCCTCATCGACGTCCTCGTCGTCGACCAGCTGCTTCGACCCTTTGACCGGCTGCCCACCTCCTGCTGACTTCGAAAGCTCCCCTATCGACTGCACCCCTGCTGCTGCCTCCTGTTCGACCGGCTCCCCTGCTGCTCCCCTGTCGTGGACGGCTTCCCATCCTGGTCGACGAGCTTGGCGCCTTGTCGCCGGCGATGCCACTCGCCGACGCCACAGGCGACGCCTCAAGGCTCCCCTCATCGCCGGCGGCCGACACAGGCGTCGAGGCAGGCCGATCTGCGGCGGGGGAGGGAGGAGCAAGGACAGGGGGAGGGGGAAGAACCTCCACAACATCCTCATCAGCAGGCTCGTCGACTTCGGCGAGCAGTGGGACCGCCGCCGTCGAGGTGTCCGTCGGCAGGTGTGCCTGCGTCAGTCCCGACGCCGGCCCATACTTCGCCTTCCACACTTCCGGCGACAGCGTCTCGTAGAAGATCACCTCGACCGACGTGACCACCTTGTTGTCGGTCAGATCTGTCAGAATCCCAGCCACTAACCACTGGGATAAAAGGGCTTGTTTATATAGCGGGTGAGTGCGCCCATAACCCCCCAGGCCGACGTGCCTGTAACCCTTCCCTAGGATCATCGGGGATCCCCAGTGGACCTCTGACACCCCCCCGCACTGGGATGCCCGAAGTGCACACACCGGGAATCGAACCCGAGACCTTCGCTCTGATACCATGTCAGAATCCCAGCCACTAACCACTGGGATAAAAGGGCTTGTTTATATAGCGGGTGAGTGCGCCCATAACCCCCCAGGCCGACGTGCCTGTAACCCTTCCCTAGGATCATCGGGGATCCCCAGTGGACCTCTGACAGATCGAGCACCTCCCAGCCCTTGCTCTCCGGCGACACACCCAGGTGAAGCCCCCAGCGAGCCTTCGGCGCCAGCTTCCCACCGCTCTGCTGCTCGGGAACCATGAACTGCACCATGCAGCCCCACAATCGCGCCAGCGTGAGGTTGGGCTTCTTCCCGGTCAGCAGCTGGTACGGAGTCGTCCCCGGCGGCGTCGTCGACCGCTCCAAGCAGTTGCGCACCCAGACGGCGTATCGAAGGGCGAGATGCCACCAGTGGTGCTGCACGCCCATGTGCAGCAGCATCGTCCGCACGGACTCGACGACCGTGCGCATCTTCCGGTCAACCATGCCGTTCTGTTGTGGAGATCGTGGACGATGCCCTTCCCGTCGACGAAGGTGGTGAAATCCTTTCCAAGGAACTCCCCTCCCCGGTCAGAGCGGAGCGACAGCACCGACTTCTTCGTCTGCCGTTCCACCAGCACCAGCCACTTCTGAAACTCCCGCAGTACATAGCTCTTCTTAGCGACCGGCATTGCCCGCACGAAATGAGTGGGGCGATCTTTCAGCAGCATTAAGTACAAGCTGCCATCCTTGGCAGCCACCCAAAATGGCCCGCACAAGTCAATGTGCACGACAGCCAGTGCCTCCTCGGCATCCGAGCCCTTGTCGGGGAAGGTGTGCCGCGCTAGCTATCCTCCGATGCACAAAACACACGGCGCCTCTGCTCCGGTCAACGGCATGATGTCGAGCCCAGTTGCAACTCGATGCTTCGCCGAGCTCTTGATTGTGTCGACGCCGACGTGCGTGAGTCTCGCATGCAGCCGTTCAGGGGTCGACTTCGTCGCCGACGATCGTCCGCAGACCAACCACCTCGGTCGTCGCCAACTGTGTCGAGCAGGGGCGAAGGTCGGTGCAGAGGACTCGTCCGGTGTAGCGTGCTCGACCGAGCACCTCCCCGGTCGAGGTGACGAGCAGCATCTCGTCGTCGTCGTCCTGCAGCTTCACGCCGCTCTCCTTCAGCTGGCCAGCCTACAGCTGCCGGCCTACGAACGACTTAGTAGGTGCAAAATTCGGCTCCTATCTGAAGGTCGCGTGTTCGATCCACGCTCACCGCACCATGCGGAGATACACTCTACAACGGTAGTGAGCTAGACTACGGGGTTGGCACGAACTACTAGGAGTGATCGTAGCGTTGCCTAGTTCCTTAGTGCTTGCACATTCACGGGATAAATCACCAAGAGTTTCACTAGCAAAGTTGGAATTACAGAATAATTGAACAAGCAATGACAGAATGGACTACATCAGGCACCTAGCAACCCTGCAGCTAGCCTGGTCGACCGCCAACACAGCTTGGTCGACCGCGTGCCAGCGTTGCGTAGAGGAGCCGCGCCAGCACTGCAGAAGAGCGGCCTGCCAACACTGCTGGTCGACGGCGTGCCAACGCCGCAGCAGAGCGGCTGCCCAGCGTCGCCCTGTAGAAGACAGCAGTGCTCACGCTTGCAGGTGCGCGCAGGTGATTGGTCCGACTTGCCTCGTTGGGCATCCGTCGGCTGTTGTCTGCGCCTGACGAGCCACATCGACTTCGGGATACCAGCCCGAAGTCGCCTTCGCCATCGCGACCTCGACGACGTTCGCGTGCCTCCGCAGAACTCGTCGAGCAGGTTACCCGGTCGACCTGGACACCACCAGGTGCTCCGGTCGACCACCAGGTCCCCCGGTCGACCACCAGGTGCCTCTGGTCGACCACCAGGTGCCTATGGTCGACCAACAAGTGCCTCTGGTCGACCACAGCTCCCGTCGAGCTACCCCCTGGTCGACGGACCCCTTCCGTCGACCAGAACTATGAGCGATTGTCGCCGAGCTCCCCTCGTCGACCGCTGCTCACTTGTCAGGTCGACGGACTGCTCAGTCGACCTCCCAGTTGAATTGCCCCTCCTGGTCGACGGCCCATCCATCGCCCAGACCAGTCAGTTGCGGCTGTCGAGCTCCCTGGTCGACAGCAACACCACAGCGGTCCCCTGCAGCTCGACGAAGCCTGTCGAGCAGCTCTCCCATCGTGAACGGTCGGCTGCAACTCCCGTACATCCGACCAAGTCGTCGGCATTGCCCAAGCGAGGGCGGGGCCAACACTCCACTCCCGTTAACATTGACAAAACGTAACAACCGGAGGTTACGCGAAGGTCAAAGGTCAGCGACCTTTGACTCACCAAAATACAGCGCGACAGCAAGGACAAACAACTGACTCGGTATTGAGCAGTTGCTCGAGTCGTCACTGTATCGAACCGCAACAGCAACAGTAAAACAGTTTCATATTTCTTGTAATCTTATAAAAAATTGTATTCCTTTGCTTTAATCAATCTATCTTGCCCTCACATACCAGCGCAAGGTGGTTCGATAGCTTGTCATTAAACGCTTCCGCAATTACAACATTCCTACCCAGGATTTTAGCCTTGAAAGATCCTAAGGGCTTTTCTCAGCCCAACAGTAATCACATTGAAATCAGGGTAATTACCTTTATACAATCAGCCCTGTGTCCCCCCCTCCCCCCCGCCACGTCTACTTCCTGGCCATCGATTACTCCGATTAATACAACATGAAGTTTTATGGCGCAATAATTCCATTGTAGGCCCTATTACTAATTCAACGTACCGTAAGGGAGCAATGCTTTTGCCTTTTAGTGGGAGAAGTTTTCTGTTGTAAAATTGAACGCAGGAGTGTTTTGCATCAGCTGATGGTAGCGGGTCGACAGGTAAGGCTGTGTCGAAGCGTTTGCCTCGCGATGCGAGTACCTGGAGACTTGGCAACGGATATATTCTATGTCACAGTTTTTTCGAGGCGCTCCCGTCCGAGCTAAAGAGCAGGTCACAGTCCCGCCTAAAGCATTACCAACCAGCCATAACATCAAGACGTCGTGATCAGCCATCTCAGCAAGTAGACGGAATTAGCCATTACATCTCGAAGGAGGCAGAATGAGACGTTTCTTGGTTAACAGACATGATACGGAGAATGCGACTAAGTATGGGGCAGCATTGGGGTGGGTTTATTTGACACGAAGAAATGATTCTCGCATTATTAGATACAGCTCCTGATGAATTTGTTTCTCGTAGGTCCTCGCCTGCAGTAACGAACGCGTCCGACTCATTAGCTTTAGGGATGACATCGTCGAAGTACATGGCGCACGCCAGCCAATTCTCCCAAAGCATGTCACAATCATACCCAAGTGCCTCACAAGGCTCTCAGGTTCGTGATACTTGAAACTTGAATTTACGACGGTTTGCTGATAGAAATCCTTCACATAACAACCCTTTCTCAGCGACAGGTTACTCAGGGGACAGCGCAACCGTCGGTCTCTCTTCAAAAGTACTCGTCACAGCCCCTGCTGCGCGTGAAAAATGGACAGGAGAAAAGTTTTTCCAACTTGACGAATTCACTCCAAAGATTGATGCCGCCTTGCAGTGAGTCGCTCATATTGGTTCCGACAAAGGCTGATTGTGTGGAAATTTCTCAACATCGGATGGAATGTGAGCAGATTGCAGTAAGGAAACGAATCATAAGGTCGAGAGTCTGTGCAACCGAATTGTGGGAATCGCAGAGGACATTTCTCAGATGAAGACCGACTTGGGACACTTGAAAGATCACTCACGTATGCTTTGTTGAAGCTGTTGCTAGAACATGGACAGCCAATCTGCTCATATGGTTGACTTGTTGTCCTGCAGGTGAAGATCAAGAGGGCCGATTTCGACAGCTAATAATTCAGACGGTAGGTTTGTCCTGTGATGCTTGCGGATTGCATAATGCTGAGGCTTTTGCGCTTGGAAACAGGTGGAATCCGCAGTTCAAAGAGGCATGACGGAGCTTCGTTCGGACATGATGAAGAACATGACAACCATGCTGCGGAACCAGCAGCGTGTAAGTGATTCTCGTTTGACTTATCGTCTTGGAAGATGCGATAATTATGAACCTTTCAGGAATTCGAAGGCAAGGAGCTGAATATCTCACCAATGTTTGATAAGCGAGAACACCATCAGCGCCATGTCAATGGCCATGGTCAATTGAAAAAGAGACACGAAGGGAAGATGACTCATTTTATGCAGGTAACAGCGTTTGTTCTATCTTGTTGCTATGTACCCGCCGCGCCTTGTTTCTTTCTCACACTGTGTTGTTTTAAAGGTGACCAAGAACCAGAACCATGAATTGATGCAGTTAAGGTGGGAATTCATTCATTGGACTGTTTCCTTCCGTTCCATCTGGTTTCCACGTTCGCATGCCTCACCTGTGTCATTTTCTGGCAGCCCAATCTGTCTGAGCAATCCTCGAAACGAGACTACCGGAGAGATGTGGCCGATGTCATTACAGAATGATCAAATTTGGAAAGCAAGTCAGGGTGACCTAATGAGTATGATGCCGAGCCCAGCAGCGCTCGAGGTAGGCTGTCCGAGCGTAGGCCACACCGCCAGTTTGGGTAATTGCTATTGAATCTCACGTTTTTTATTTTGCAGGATTCACTTCCTGTGGCACAATCGAGCAAGAAGAGAACTTCAACTGCAAAGAGGAAACGGCCAACTAAGGGGAAGCAGCACAAAATTGACGAATACACCTCGTTCCACCTTCCTGCTGATACCAATTTTCCCAGCAGCCTCATTGAATCTGGTGCAGCAGATGTGGATGCCTCGTTCTGCACCAAATAAGATGAGGATGCAGTGAAGAAGATGGTGCTGAGAGCAAGGAAGAAAAGAAAGGTGAAAAACACAAACTGTTGATTGTGAGGTTGCTTGTGAGCACCAAGTGTCAGAATCCCAGTCACTAACCACTGGGATAAAAGGGCTTGTTTGTGTAGCGGGTGAGTGCGCCCATAACCCCCCAGGCCAACGTGCCTGTAACCCTTCCCTAGGATCAATCGGGGATCACCAGTGGACCTCTGACACCCCCTCGCACTGGGATGCCCGAGGTGCACACACCGGGATTCGAACCCGAGACCTTCGCTCTGATACCATGTCAGAATCCCAATCACTAACCACTGGGATAAAAGGGCTTGTTTGTGTAGCGGGTGAGTGCGCCCATAACCCCCCAGGCCAACGTGCCTGTAACCCTTCCCTAGGATCAATCGGGGATCACCAGTGGACCTCTGACACCAAGTGCGATGACAACATGCCGCTAGCATGAGAAGAACCGACCTACTGCACTACCCTGCTTCACTTTATTATCTTTACTTCTGTGCTGAACAATCTTTATTATTTGTATCAATCCTTCTTGTGGGTTTCATATTTGCACACTAGGCTGGGTGCTTAGTTGCGGCAAATTATGTTTAGACTTCTAAGGATCACTTGTAATGAATATACATTCATTACTGTAGAGGCTGCTCCTAGCGAGGACAGCCCGAGCTCTTCGCGTCAGATTCCGGTTCGGCCTACATTTCGGACCGAACCAATTCCGAGTCGCCCCGCACCAATCCTTCTTGTGGGTTATTATTTGTATCAATCCTTCTTGTGGGTTTCATATTTGCACACTAGGCTGGGTGCTTAGTTGCGGCAAATTATGTTTAGACTTCTAAGGATCACTTGTAATGAATATACATTCATTACTGTAGAGGCTGCTCCTAGCGAGGACAGCCCGAGCTCTTCGCGTCAGATTCCGGTTCGGCCTACATTTCGGACCGAACCAATTCCGAGTCGCCCCGCACCAATCGCAACGATCCCAAACCTCGAACGTCACGAGGTTCTTCTCTAGCACGATTGCGACCCTATAAATGCATGTTCCTTTATCATTCTCGGCATTCTGTAATCACGTTCTCTTTATAAAGTCTTCCGCGCACTCTGTCTAGTAAAACTCATAACACTTGGTATCAGAGCTACTTTCCTAGCTTCCCCGTTTTTTAGAGTGTATTATGTCAAACATATATGCTGCATATTGTCTAGGCTGTAGTGGGGTAGCCCATATGGGGTACAACCCAATTAGGGTTTACTACTTGTACTCCTGCATGCTCTTAGTTCATCATTCCTGCTGCTTGTTTCTAACATGGTATCAGAGCACTAAGGTCCGTAGGACCGTTTTTTTTTCGGGCCCACCTACCGCTGCGGTTACCGCGCTACCCCACGTACCTGCCTGCCTTGCCTTGCCTTGTGACGTGCTGCACTACGCGCGCCGTCCAGCAGCCCTAGCGCTGCCTCCTGCTGCCCTAGGCCAGCGCGCTGCCCCTAGAGGCCCGTAAGGCCCGCGCGCCGCCCCTACACGCCCTTCAGGCCTGCGCAGCCCGCACCGAGCCGCGCGCAGCCCGCACAGAGCCGCGCGCAGCCCGCTGCAGCCGCGCGCAGCCCGCACCGAGCCGCGCGCAGCCCGCTGCAGCCGCGCGCAGCCCGCACCGAGCCGCGCGCAGCCCGCACCGAGCCGCGCGCAGCCCGCTGCAGCCGCGCGCAGCCCGCACCGAGCCGCGCGCAGCCCGCGCCGAGCCCACGCAGCCCGCGTCGAGCCGCGCGCGGCCTGCTCCTGCCTCGCGAGGCCCGCGCGCGGCCCGCAGCAGCCCGCGCCGAGCCGCGCGCGGCCTGCTCCTGCCTCGCGCGGCCCGCAGCAGCCCGCGCCGAGCCGCGCGCGGCCCGCTACTGCCTAGCGCGGCCGCGCGCGGCCTGCAGCAGCCCAGCGCGCTGTCAGCGCAGCCCGCGCCGAGCCGCGCGCGTCCCTCTGCCTCGGCCCCGACCTGCCGCTGATACGGCCCCGCCCTGCAGCTGCCACGGCCCCGACCTGCCGCTGAAGCGGCCCCGCCCTGCAGCTGCTTCGGCCCTACTCTGCACCGGGTGTTGCGGCCCCGACGTCGCCGCTGTCGTGCGCCTACTCGGCCGCCGCCCGTCGAGCGCCGGCCCTGCTCGCCCGGCGAGCGCCTGCTCTTCCGGCCTTTGGTGAGCGCTTTGCCTGCCTGCCTGCCGGCCTGCCTGCCTGCCTGCCTGCCTGCCTGCCTGCCTGCCTGCCTGCCGGCCTGCCTGCCTGCCTGCCTGCCTGCCGGCCTGCCTGCCTGCCTGCCTGCCTGCCTGCCTGCCGGCCTGCCTGTCTGCCTGCCTGCCTGCCTGCCTGCCTGCCTGCCTGCCTGCCGGCCTGTCTGTCTGTCTGCCTGCCGGCCTGCCTGCCTGTCGGCCTGCCGCGCCTGCCCTGCCCGCGCTACTGCTGCTGCTACTGCTACTGGCCGGTGGCCAGATGCAGCTCCAGCGACGTTCACGTGAGTCTCTCACGCCCCAGCAGCTTAGTGAGTGGTATACTAGCTGGGGTTGTCGCGGTAGCCGTCGTAGCTGTCCCCCTGGAGCTGGTCAGTTGGGAGCGTCTGGCAGTGGCCAGCTGCAGCTGCAGCGGCGTCCTCGCGAGACACTTACGTCCCGGCAGCTCCACGAGTGGTACGCTCAGTGTAGCAGGTCTACGCGTACAGTTCGCTGCCAGTACGTCATTCGCACAGGTGATCGGGTTGGTCAGCCTTGCGGGACGCTTGGTCACACACAGTCCCGCTACTTCGCCCGTCTGAGCGACGACTGGCGTACAGTGTTTGGCGACGAGGCTGAGCTCCCCGACTGGCTGGAGCTGCTTGGACGGAGGGTAGATATCTTTGCTCCTGACTATGATGCTATTCTCACTGCCATGTATGCATTGCCTACTAGTGTTGACCGTGCCTGTTACCTGTGCGTCCCGCCTGACCCTGGTATAGCACCTGCTGCTCCCGGTACTGGTGAGGCTGCTGCTCTAGGTGCTAGTACGTCTCCTGCTCTAGGTACTGGTGAGGCTGCTGCTCTAGGTGCTAGTACGTCTCCTGCTCTCGGTGCTGGTGAGTCTGCTCTCTCTGGTTCTGCGCCTGCTGCGGCCTTGTACACCTTCACGCTTGACTCAGGTGCTTCCCGCTCCTTCTTTCGCGACTGTACCACACTCACGCCGCTTAGTCGGCCGGTTCCAGTCTCCCTGGCGGACCCCTCCGGGGGTCCAGTCCTTGCCCACTACTCCACGGTTCTGCCGTGTCCGGCCGCCCCGTCTGGCTTGCTGTCAGGTCTTTACCTCCCCTCGTTCTCTACGAACTTGGTGAGTGGAGCTGACCTCCAGGATCAGGGGGTGCACCAGTTCACTCCTGCGAGTCAGCGAGTGACTCACTGTACGTGTGCTCGGACCGGCCGACACCTGGCCACGTTTTCCCGTGCGCCTGGCTCGAGTCTGTACACCCTGACCACTGCGTCCCCTCAGGTAGCTGCGTCTGCGTCTGCGTCCGGTCAGCCGACGGCCCCCTGCGAGTGTCGCGCTTTGTCGCACCAGACCCTCCTGTGGCACCACCGCCTTGGTCACCCCTCAGTGCAGCGCCTTCGTGGCATGCACTCTCGCTTCCTGGTTTCTGGTCTGCCCAGGTCTTTGCCTGCCCTGCCTCCCTCGCTTGCGCCGCCCTGCATTCCTTGCGTCGAGGGGCGGCAGCGCGCCGCTCCTCACTCCTCCTCGTTCCCTCCCACAGAGGCTCCCCTGCAGACTCTCCACCTGGACGTGTGGGGCCCAGCCCGCGTCCGTGGACAGGGCCACGAGCGGTACTTCCTGCTGGTTGTTGACGACTACACGCGTTACACCACGGTCTTTCCCCTGCGCAGCAAGGGGGAGGTCCCTGCTGTTTTGATCCCTTGGATCCGCGCTGCCCGTCTCCAGCTCCGCGAGCGGTTCGGGACGGAGTTTCCCGTCCTGCGTCTGCACTCTGACAGAGGTGGTGAGTTCTCCTCAGACCTCTTGGCAGCCTTCTGTGCGGAGCACGGCATCACCCAGTCGTTCACGCTTCCGGCCTCTCCGCAGCAGAATGGGGTTGCTGAGCGCCGCATTGGCTTAGTCATGGAGGTCGCTCGTACCTCCATGATCCATGCGGCTGCCCCCCATTTTCTGTGGCCGTTTGCGGTCCGGTACGCCGCGCATCAGCTCAACCTCTGGCCCCGTGTCTCCTTGCCGGAGACCTCGCCCACGCTGCTGTGGACGGGGAAGGTTGGCGATGCGTCGCGTTTCCGGGTCTGGGGTGCTCGTGCCTTTGTCCGCGATACCACCGCGGACAAGCTCTCCGCCCGTGCTGTTCCCTGTGTCTTCCTTGGCTTTGTCCCTGACGCGCCTGGTTGGCAGTTTTACCACCCCACCTCGCGCCGTGTCTTTGCGTCTCAGGACGTCACGTTCGATGAGTCGGTTCCTTTTTACCGTCTCTTCCCCTACCGCACGGCCCCTCTCCCTCCATCGCCACTCTTCCTCGCTCCAGGTGCTCCCCAGGTAGACCCCCTCCCCGCTCCCGGTCCTGCTCCTTTAGGTGTGTCTCAGGTAGACCCTCCTCCCTTCCCTGCGCCGGTCGAGGTCACTGGTGACTCAGGTCCTACTGGGGGTGGTCCTGCTCGGGGTGCTACTTCTGGGGGTACTGAGCCTGGGGGTGCGGAGCTTGAGAGTGTGGAGCCTGGGGGTGCTGAGCCTGCGTGTGAGGGGTCTGGAGGTGCTGGAGCTGGTGGTTCTGGGGCTGCTGAGGGTGCGGGCGCTGGAGGTTCTGGAGCTGCTGAGGGTGCTGGCGCTGAGGGTTCAGAGTCTGCTGTTGCGCGGTCTCCTTGGAGTAGCCGCCTTCGTCCCCGTGTGCCTCTCACCTCGCAGCAGCTGCACGACTGGTACGGTCGCCGTCAGGGTCGCGCTGCTGGAGCCCGGGGCTCTGCTACTGGAGGTACTTCTG